AAAAAAAAAACACACCAAAAAACAACGACAACTTCCAAGCCTCCGTTAAAAAAAAACCTGCTTGCTTTCAAATTTCAGGAGCGAGAAATGTTTTCTTCGGTTCTTCTAATCAAAGTTTCAGCCCTGGTTATACGTTTATCCTCACCTTTCGAGAAATGAGTTGCAATTTTTCACACAAAAATTGCACCCTACTAAACACAGATTACATTGCTTCGAAGACAAATGTCTGACGCGTCTACTGGAATGGCCCAAGAAAGACGATACAAGTGAGAATCTAAATCGTCTTTGTGCTGGACAAAATTCTTAATAATTTGTGTGCACTAAAAGCCTTTATAGTCAGAGATCATATAGTGTTACAGTTCAAAAGAAATTTAAAGCTAAACATGTGGGCTTTCATCAAGAACAACGACAGTTTTGTTCTTGAAAAAAATGTTACGGTATAGGGTGTATTATCCCCCTTCTCTTTGGAGTTTTTCAGAGCGTGGTCCATTGATTCCGATAAAGCACCTCACTTTGTAGCTTTATCTAATATTTATGATCATTTGAATTGGTACCGCTTCCCCAAAACAATACCAGATCGGCAGGCAGAAAAAGATTTTCTATTGGGGACAATGTTTAATTGAGTACGTTGTATCTGCGTTTTACTTCCGGGATGTTGAATCTAACTCAGCCTGGGTTAGCTCTGACAGGAAGAGTTGGAGCAGCCTTCTTCCTAAAAGATCTAAATCGTGTCTTGGGGGTGGAGTGAGCAGGGATGGGGTGGTGATTAGCTTTTTTTTTTATCAATCACCCACCTCGGTCTTGTCAATCACTAATATTGCTTAATATGACGAAAAACTAGCAACTTTGCTGCCCAAAAATTACAAAGTTCTATCCGCTCAATACATAATGGTTGTTCTTTATTTTTTACGTTAAAAAGTTGAGTTTCACAACATGTCTAGCTTTTTCCAATGCAATTCTTTGAATATCTTGACGACTCCGGATAACCTTACGATTTTGACAAAGCAGCAAGAACATTTGGTTTCTGACCTCCTGGTCTTAGTAACTCAAAAACAGCCAAAAACTGTCAGATATAACTTTGTGATTCTGAGGTAGCGACTTGCCTAAGACGCTATTGTTACATTGTAATGAACATTTTCGGTAAATAAATTTCTTGGCGGACCTTGCAGAATAGCGCTTGCCAAAAAGACAATTTTGCAAACAATATCAACATTTCCACGCTTGTCTTGTGCATATGATCTGAATATTCTCTAAGTGCCCTTCAGAATAAAAGCTTAGCAATCTCTGAGCCCTTTTGAAAAACATGACTTCTTCAAAAATGTTATGGTACTAAACCTGGAGTCTTTGTCGAGAGATGCCAGCATCTGACAGGGAAACTGAATCTACGATGCTATTGGTTGATGAGCATTTAATCATACTGAAAATCGTATTAATGGCAGGAGACGCTAGCTGACAAACTAAAGACGTGTCGTGCCTCTTAATCAGGATTACTAGCTGGGTTTTCCGATATGAGGTTAGCGTATCTGCCGTATTATCTATTATTTTCGCGTGAGAGGGAATTATTATCCTTCCACATCTGGATTTCCTGTTATACTTCCGTTCGCTGTTGTCACTGTTTGACATGACTGTGTTCAAATGAATAATAAGAATAACAGTGGATAAAGGGGGAAAAACACACGAAAGCTGTAAATTATGTAGTTAAAGATTGTAAAGTTAATAGACGTCAAACTGCTGACGTTTACAAATTAAAATATTATTGTAATTATGAAGGGCTATTTCTTTAAATTTTGCTGTTCAGATATTCAATCAGGTAAAGAGTACACAGACAGTATGCGGGTTCTTGTGTCATAATTGTGAATGTAGAGCACCATAAAAACGATTTAAAATCGCAACTAAAATCTTGGGAAGGAAGTACTTTCTTTTTGTTTTAGTTTCAACCTCGAAGTAGATGTAGTACACCCTATGCTATGAAGCAACATTTTATGGATATTTTACTAGTAACAAAAAGAAATCCATACTAGTATATTATTGCGGCCTTTTTGTACTAGAATGGGTGTGTAGTAAACGGGGATTATTGCTCCTCAAGTGCTTCTCGAACTGGACGCTTCAAAAGCAGAATTGGTGGTAGCTTGTCGTTTTTTTCCTACCAGAAATTGTTAGAATAAAATACGATTTTTTCCAGGATGTGAGTATCCCTCATCACCCAATCGATCTCATCCTTAAAACTGTCGTCAATCTGACAGCCCACAAAAAATTTCCTCGAGAAATGAACCACTGAACGGAAACCAGTGAGAGGGCACGGGGATTTTGGTACAAAGGCCGAATTAGTCTGAGAATCCGGCTCGGGGAGGACAGCTCATCCATGGTGTTGGCGGTATTTGGATCTCACGAGCTGTGTTTGAACTTCTCGCTCAAAGCTGCTACTTCGAGACGCTACGAGCGGACTAAATCGATGCCAGTGTATGCAATTAATAGGGACGAGAGAGAGAAAGAGAGAGAGAGAGAGAGAGAGAGAGAGAGAGAGAGAAAGAGAGA